GTGCCAAGCGCTCCCGCATGCGGCCAGCCACGCCGCTCTGCTCCGCACAAGGAATTCTGCGTTAGAAGGGGAGCAGATCATGGCAACACCAAGTGCAGCAGGAGGCGGTGATAAAGAAAAAGGGCTACTGAGAGGACAGATTTGTCCCTCACAGCCTGTGCAAATAGGAGAGAGCGCCTCCGCGTGATGAGGACCATCTTTAGTAAGAAAGCAAAGGTAGGGCTTTGCAAGGGAGAGTGGCTATGGAAGTGGGCCAGAAGTTTTATTTAGAATCGTCTCACCAGGTGCGTCAAGTGAAATGTTAAAGTCATCCAAAATGAGAATTTACAGAAAAATATTCTTACAAAATAATATCGGAGCATGTGAATACTGTGCTGCTGTATTATCTAACTAAAGGACAGCTTTAACTATGAGCAGCATTGAATTTATCTTGAAGCTGTAAACAAGTCTGGAGGAAATTTTGAACTATCTGATCATAGCTCTGCAACCTTGTAAGCCAGGAGGCCTTTGTAGAGAGATTTCAAAACTAATTTCTGTTCATCACTGAAGAGTCCAGCGACAAGAACAAGAGCCCTGCAGCAGAGTCCTGTACCACAGGAGCACAGTTGGGGCGGCAGGTACAAGCACATACACTGGTCTTGCTACCCCTTGAGGTATATGCGAGCAGTTGTCTTCTTCACCGGGCGCTGCAGAGGTGTCCACCGGGACGAACACCTGAAGCTTCCTCCATGTGAGTGATAAGGTACGATTTGAGAACCTCTACCTTCTTTGTAAATCACAGAATCACAGAATCATGGAATGCTTAAGGTTGGAAGGCACCTCTACAGGTCATCTAGTCCAACTCCCCTGCACATGGAGGGTTACCTATCGCATGTGGCACAGGGCTGTATCCAAGCGGGTTAATCTAGCTCCAAAATCTAGCTCCAAAAGCTCCTACTTTATCATTAAGGTCAGTTCATCTCAATTTTTAACTTTTTGTGCTTAGCGTTTATCCAGACTTTATGAGATTTCTATCAGATTTTATCCAAGGAGTTGAGTACAGGAAATATTCAAAAAACGCTAGCCAAAAAGACAACAAGACTTTCATAGAAAACCATTCTAGAACTAACTCATCATGCTAAATTTTAAACCTTATTTTTCATTCAGAAGAAGCTCTGAGGTACTTGAGTGAGAAATCCAATGGGCTTAAACAGAGACCTATGAGTTAGATATGATGGTAGAGTGCAGGCCGGACTGCTCTGAGGACCCAATGGATAAAAATGACAGAATATTAATAGGTCAGGGCAACCCGAGGAAACCTTCCTAAATTTTCAGACAGCAATTACATCATTTAAGGCAATTATTCTTTTCTTCTTGAGCTGTTTTTTTGCTACTATTGCAGAAAGCCATCTGCTTTATTCAACTTATTTGTGCCTGTTGTGGCAACAATTGCTGCTTTTCATCAGATCGAGGTTTGTGTTGGCAAGTGTGGGAAACCAAGGCCAGACTCAGCAAAACCCTTGAGCTTCTGGTTAACTGTTAGCATATCCTTATATTTGCAGATTTCACTGGGACTTGTGGACAACTTTAATCCGGACTTCATCTTTACCTCTTGAGAAGATGCTTCTCTAAAACTTGACGTTTTACTAATCTTGATTTTAAGCGCTCAGTAATTCCTGTTATAGAACAGTGGTTAGAATCTTTTCCGTTCAAGAAAAAACATAAACGAATCACAGTTGTTATTGTACTTGAAGATTTTTTTTTAGACTATAATTCCATTCATTACATTTCAAATAGTTATTTGCCTGCCTTTCAGATCTATCCATTATACAATGTCCAAAGCATGAGTCATTTCAGAAAAGGTTTTGTGTTCGTCATGTATTAGTTTGCACTCCTTTATTCTTGCAGTGTTTCCTGAAGAAGCAGCTCAGTGATCTTTACAAGCATCCTGTTTTACAGACAGAAATATTGGTGCAAAAAAGAATTTCATGATTTGCAGAGCACAGCACTGGTGATGCTGGCAATGGAGGCTTCTTCACTCTTAGGCTTGTGTAATTACTCGATTACTTCTATTTGACTGAAAGGTGAGATGTGCAGTTAAACTCATCTTCTGAGTAAGCAAACACACAAAAATGATAAATCACACAGTAATTTGCACTGTGTTGCCTGAAGCAACTTGCTATGTGCACTATTTAAAATGCCTAAGCATTTTCTTTGACTACTGAGGATACTTGGCTAAGCAGTATGTAGAGGAATGTTGCTAATGCAAATCTTCCAGAGCTCTCTTCCTTTCCAGTGGGTCACAGACCAAATCCTGAAGAACCTTTTAATATTAAGCTTTCCATAAAGCCGTATTTGCTCAAGCAACTGCTCTTTTTTTTTTTAGTCAATAAAGAATTACACAAACCAGACTTGTGTAATTGACTGTCCAATGATGTAAATGATAATTTAATGAGAATTTACTTACTGTTGCCAAAATATTTTTAAAATTACTTGAAGTACTTGAATTTTGATACTGTCTTGTGCCTGTGTAAGTGCCTCTCTTTTGAGGAGCTCTAAGTACTGTGTACATTTTCTCACTGTAGGCAAATGAAAGTTTGGAAGGATTTAGACCTTGCTGTTAAAGATGAAAAATAGTAAGGATTTAAACCTCTAAATCACACTGAAAGTAGTGAGTTTGGGGAATAACAGATCAGCGAAGAAAAGAACTTGGATATATTGGTTCATACCATTGTTAGCATTATCCAGTATTCCTGTCTTAAAAAATGTGCCAGTAGACCTTGGTAAGCTGGTAATCTAAGAGCACTGTAATTTATTCTGTGTAGTTCAGAATCTAAATCACTATCTAGATGATGAATAAAAATGAGTTTGTTAGTCTTGTTTTAATTCCTATTTGAATATAATACAAAACCATCAAATAGGTCTGTAACATTAATCGGCTGTCTGTAACATTAGTTCCTCCCAAGCTCTGCTTCGTAAGAGGCAAAAGAAAACTAACATATTTCGTTCCCAGAAAGTCTGATCCCTTTTCTCACAGAAGCAGTTTAAGTTTTGGCAGCAGAAATGCATACATTAGCTCGCTCGAGCCATCTGCAAGGCACGCGCGCTTTTACCTCGTCTGTTCCCAATTAGAACGTTTTGTCTTTGAGGCACCATCAGATGCCATGCTAGCACTGGTAATGAATTTGGGAATCAAGTACATCCCAAGGGATTTAAAATCTTCATGGATTAAAGGGCAGTCCTTTGTGAGCTTTGGTTATTTTCATATTTTGGCTGTAAGTCTAAACAATCTAAACCTTGGATAGCAACTTAATTATATGAAGAACTGGTATCCCCAACATATCGATTTTTTGAGCAGGTTGGGATTACGTAAGATTAAAAAAAATTATTTTTCACTTGTTCATTGAATACGACATATTTTTATGTCAATATCCAACATTATCTATTTTGGAGAGGTAATACAGTGTGGCTACATGCAGATTTCCCTTCTGCTCAAATTGAATTCTGTTTTCTAGCAGAGAAACAGTGGAGTACAGTGCAAGATCAGCATTTTAATACTCATTTATTATGACAGAGTAAAACCTATTTTATCTAATTAATTTTTCATGCTTGCATGAATATAAAATGACCTAATGGGATCTTTCTATTAGTGGTATTTTCTTTTTCTGCTTCACTCTCTTGTTTGAGGATAAAAGATTTCATGTGTGATATATCTAAGTGATTGTCTTATTACATTTTCTACATTTTACATTACATAGAATATTTCATCTGAAGAAAATATTTGATGGAAAATAAAATAAGCTATTACTAATTTATCTTTGCAAAAAGTTGTAATTACTACAGTTTTGTCATCCTAAAACCAAACTGCAAACCTTAGATAAGCCATCACTAATATGGTATCATATAGTGATGTGTATCACTTGCACACATTGATTGGTATATCCTATCAATCAATCAAAACAGTTTTATTTCTCTTGTAAATTAGTATAGGGATATGGAGGGCATGAGGCTGAAGGATTCTTTCCAAATTCTATACAAAAACAGGATGGATATTTCACAACACAGTTGAGCGACGGCAGCATGGTTGATGGCTGTAGAGGAACAGCCGGTTAGGATATGCTGCAGAATTGCATTTTAGAATATTTTTCAGTCTCTAAAAACTATTTGGTCAAGTACAAGCAAGATACTGTCTGCTGCTGCAGTATTAAAGGAATTGCTAATAGATAAATTCAAAGTTTCAAATAATCCTACCTGTTTCTGAGTAGTGGCATTTTTCAGGTATCATAAGCAAGGGTGAAGGAAGGACTGTGCTTCCCCTGGAGCTGGGGGTGCAAGACCTTGGGCACCCGCCTTTGGACATACGTCTTCCTTCTATGTACCTTTGCTCTTGGGAGTAGGTCCATGGGCTGTGAAGGAGCCCACATGTTTCCTAACAACTCTTCCCTTAGCAGCCACCGGCGAGGATCTTCTGCCAAGTGTGGGAGGGAAACAAGACGAGTGGAACCTGGGCAGGTAAAATAGCTACAAAGATATCCCCTAATGGGCACACAACTCATACACTTCTAAGTGTGCACAGAGCCCCTTTCCCTGCCATGGGGAAACTGCTCAGGCTCCTCCTGGATTTGTGCTGCTGTCAGCGGTGCATCCACGTGGACTAGGAGCAGCAGCACTGGGTGCTCTCCACGCCAAGGACAGGGTAAGTGCCCCACGTCACCCCACAAGGATTTACTGCAGAAGCTGCTCCCTGGAGACTACCGAAACAAATAAAAGATTGCGAGTATGAAAGGAGGTAACCATAGTAATAAAAAGAAATCTGCCAATCCCTGCTGCACCCCAAAGAACAGAGCAACGACCGTTAAGTTGATTGAAAAAAATATTAAAATTTAATTCCACCAAGAAAAATCTATGAAATGGCTGCAAAATATTACAAACAACTCAATTTTTATTGGAAACATTTTAGTACCACTGTAAATAAGACAAGATTGCAGAACAGGATCAGCAAAAGTTGTTAACCAGAAAATTGCTTACACAGAACCTACTCTTGCTCCCACAGATATCTACAGCATTTCACTGGCAGGATTCAATGAAAAAACAAGTTTGAGCCTTCAAATTCCTACTGTATTTCTATAAAAGTATTTATTTGAAATGTCATACAAAATTGTTATCCTGACTAAATTTAGGAAAATGTAGCCTCGTTTAATAATTCTTGTTGTAAATGTATAAAAAGGGCCAATATTACATTGGATTTTTGACTCTCCATCTTGTATTTTTCACAACAAATCCATGCTATTAAAAATGAAAGAAGCAATTCTATTTCTATACAATTAGTGATATCTATATTATGGGTTTTATTTTTCAATATATTCTGGAATATTAAGGATATTTATTACATATCCTAAATTAAATTATTTTAAATTATTTTTGAAGTTTCAGACTATCAGTATGTAAGTGAAGATTAAAGAGAGACAAACAAAAAATGCAGCTAGAATCCCAGTCCTGGTAGAGACGCAAAAAATGTTTAAAATTTTTGATAATTTTTGAGCATAGGGTCTTACACCAAAACCTGAAACTATGACAATAAAAAACTAGCTTTTTAAAGACTTGTTTATATCAATATAAAGAAGAAATTTGCCATAAGTTTTAGTACAACCTTAAACTTATAATATACTATGTCTAATGCCACCAGTAACAGAGCCAATCTTTTCTATGTGAAGTAACTGGATATACTGAATTTACATAAAAATGATTTCTCTCATGATCATGCCTACAGCGTGATTGTGAGTTTAAATTATTATATTTCCTTTAGGTTTGTATACATTAAAGAAACGATGATGAAAAGTACTTACTTAAATTAGTGTAGCTCGACTGGTCATTTTTACTTCACATATATTCTCAAAGAGTTAGAGCAATTATTTTTGCAGCGCGTAAGGAAAACTAAGTAGCAGCCTGACTGCTGTTTGTCGGGTTAAACGAGAGGCTGTGATCCCTGCGTAGCCCACAGGAGCCTGAGCTCGCCGTGCTTCGGCACAGAAGCCTGAGCACATGCTCCGTGTTCAGCATCCTGCTAAAAGCGCTGATCTCATTCCGTGCCATCGCAGTTGGCAGATGGCACCTTCCACAACACATTTCTTTGTTCTCTGCTTGAGCAGGGGAGTACACCACCTACGGAGAAACCACAGGTCTCCCACACAAGGAGCTACATACATACATGCACATGCTTCTCGGGATTGAATTGCAGTGCTCGTTGTTGAATTATGCCCCTTCTTTGCACTTTCCTGAAAGGAAAGCTCTTTAACTGATGTGTACTGGTCTTTGGCACTTGATGTCTGCAAGGATGGACCAAATGCTGAAGCGGCTGCAGTTGGTTACTGTAACCCCGCGATCTTTACATACACAAACTATAAAGTGCTTTAGCATCTGTTTACATGAAAGGTGCAAATAACTACTGTGTCCTCTTGCATGATTTCCTAGAGACACACAGTACTGGTGAGCCCACACTTAGGGGTATCCTCAAATCGTTACAGTAATTAAAAAAAGGGATGAATTCCGTATGGACATGCATAGGCCAAATTAAAACCAAAGAACACTTATCTCTCCTGTAACCCCCTTTTACTGGGGTTAATGGCATCACAGCCATTCCTTTAGCTCTGTGTCTTCCTAGACCCACATGCAGTGATCTGGAGAGGAAAAAAAGGGAATAGTGCTACTCTGGAAACCTGGGCAAAAAGGGTCCCCTTAATGTGCAGAAGTTGGGGTGATTAGCTGATTTGCTATAATTGCCATTTGTTGAAAAGATGAACTGTTAGCCAATTGTGTGGTATAGTTTCTCTTCCGGGTTAGCAAGCTCAGAATATCAGGCACTGAGTGCAGCGAACCCCACAGCAGAACATGGACAGGTCTATCAATTGTCAAAATTCCCTTGAATTTGGATTAAGCTATAGAAAGAGCTCTGACAAATGTCTATATAATGTGCAGTGCAGCACTCCTGTGCTTATACTCTACTATCCCCCAAAAATCTGACTGTAAATGGAGATCATCTTGGTTTTGAGGAACTGAAGCAACTGTGATTTGCTTATGGTTGCAACGTGCCAATACTCAACCCCCTAAATGACCCTATGGATCATGTTCTGCTGCAAGGGACAGAACTCCCCTAAGAACAAACAGTACTGTATATTTGTACATAATAATTATCTTATACGTTTGGGGCAAACTTCCTACTGAATTAAGTATGATCTTCATCTCAAGTTATATTTGGAACCATATTCAAATACTTTGCCACAAACAGCAGAACTATCAAGGAGATACCCCTACAGCATACTTGATGCAGTCTATTACAATTCTTAATGATCAAAATGCAATGTCAAACATTTTTGCCTTTTTTAGATTGTTTTTATTCACTTTATCATGGTTCGCATGACTGCTCTTGTCTTGAATTGTAATGAATACAAACTAAAAAGGGAAAAAGAAGTAACAAAGGAAACAGAACACAATAAAACCTATTACCCAGTTGACAGAATAAATGTAGATTATCACCATGTCCATATCAAACCGCCATCCCCGGCTATCATCCTCAAAGTCCATGTAGTCCATCCTGTGAGCAGCATGTGGGAAATGCCTCCTTGTTACAGTAGCTGAGCGTCTTTGAAAACCTGCTGCAAAACAGAACAGCATGTAAACATCCTTATAAAGCAACTACACTGATTACTAAGAAGCTAATTCCCCCCTCCCAATCATTTACAGAACAAGGGGAAACAGGCAACTTACACCTCACTGCTGGCTCTCCTCACTTTATTGGGCAAGAAGCTCTCTGGGGATTTGACTTTCCAAGATCTAAAACCAAACTTCTTCTGCTCCAACAACTAAAACTGTTTTTTTTTTTTTTTGGTTTTAGTATTATAGTAATGTTATATGCTTGTGTCTCCAGATCTACGAACATGTCTCTTCTGGTGCCCACTTCCACTGAATTTGAATTTGTGATCTGAAAGTAAAAGGCTTCATATACTGTAATGAATTTCTTGAGTCATTATTCTCTGGATTCCTCGAGCCTACGCATCCAAATTCTTCATTGGTCTGTATCTATAGACCAATCACATCCCTATGCATACACAAATACCTAATGACCACATAGGTCAATGGTGCAAAATATTTGAAATCCTATTGAATTAATTGAATGTTGTATTTGAGGTTCTTTTTAAACACTCTTGAGATCAAGACTTGCTTGCCTTAATAGTATTTCAGTTTACAGTGATTGATGGCTAAGCATGTCTGTATAGATATATACCAGATGATTAGTTTTCAAAATACTGTTTGTATGCTGATAATTCTCTAAATATAAATTGGAGCATTGCAAACACACACTTTCGAGTAAATGTAAAAATCTACTGTAAAATGCAAAATTCAACATACATAATATAATAAACTTAAATACACACTTTACTCTTAAACTCTTCTGTTGTGAAACCAATTTGGTAGATCTAACACTGAGGAACCTAGAAAAGGATTAATCACTCAGCATGCCACTAAGAAACTCAGTTCTAAATAATAAGCTTTTTAATACATGGCTCATTAGATTTTATGATTTTATTTTTAAATTGAATTAAGCTGCAAATTCACGCATTTTTTTCTTGTTAATTGCATTATTATTTAAATATTTTGAAGAATAAATTCTGGCAAGCCAGAAACAGAGAAGACGACTTAAATGAGAGACTACAGGGACTGTCACAGTGGGCCAGGGCAGTGGTCTGCTCTATCCACCAGTCTCTTAATAATAGCAAGGAGCAGATGATATGGAGAGGTGCAAAGAATCTTCTTTAGAAGAGTTACAGAAAAAGTATTTCATTCATTTAATTGTTTTATCTTTTAAATGTCTTGGCATATTTTTTGGACTTTTATCAGAAGGAAAGAAAATCACTGGGTAACAGTACCCTACCTATTCTGACTGGCAAGTTTCATTAACTGCACTTTTTTTTTTTCCTTCTAAGTTGAGCATTATGGCTATTTCTTTATATTATTATTATTATTATTTCTTTTGAATTATATTTTGTCCAGAATTTGCATGGCACAAGTTTTTCTGTGCCTTCCAAGAATAAACTTTCTCTCTTTAGTATCCTTTTTAAGATAAATTTAAGTGACCTTTTGACTCTTAATAAAATAATTCAACTAATTCTCCTGTGTTCATTTAATGACTGATTTGCAGTGTGACTGGACTACTGACACAGAGATTTCCATTGGAGAACTAGTGCTAGTTAGATTACCATGATAACTTATTTGGATTAATTTTATTTTTAATGGTAATAGAGATCAGTTTGTTATGTACAAGTATTAAGTTTCTAGGTGTATATCTATCAGAGTTGCTCTATTGCTATTTATCTTATTTTTGAGAGTACATATTAAATCTTCATGCCAGTGAAGAGACTGGTTTTTAAACTGTTTTGGTAAAGAAAAAAAAAAGAAAAAGTGAACTAAGACATTTGGATTGGTAGTAGTGTATTTTGGGAACAGCTTTGATGCAAGAAGCAATTAAGGAAGATGAAATATAAAAAACAAGCAAACACACAAATAAAAAATCCCACACAAGGCAGTAGCTGTAACTGGAGCTACAGAGAAAAACCTATAGTGACTCTAGAATAAAAAATGCAGATTTTATACAGCTTTAGGATGGAATACCACAAAATTTATGCATGTGCACAAGTTAATCACCTGCTTAAATAGAAATGTGATATAGACTTTTTATGTTTTCAATTATGTTAATTTAAAACAGTATCTTTGCTTACTCAAAAATAACATTAGTAATTCTGTAACTGAATACTGGTCTTCTTTAAGTATTCTTTTCCTGCTATGGAGATGTAATTTATGTGAAAAATGCTCATTAAAAAAACCTATCTCAACTTCAAAATTCATTTCTTCTTAAGTTATTTTGTAACACTTACCAAATATTATTGTCAAATATAAATCTAAATTTATGTTATTGTGTTCTTTTTCAAATTTAAATTGCAAACTATGTTAAATTTTATCACTTATGTTATAAAGTGATCTTACACATGAATTCTGGTCTATATCATCCCCTCTGGAGAGTCTCAGTCAAGAGACTGTGTTTTGTTATTTATTTCTATATTTTTGGCAAATACAGCAATTTAACAAAATCTTATTTTGAGACAACTTTTTCAGATCATCTTGCAATCACAGAATTATGTAAATATTTAGGTACATTAGGTAATACTTGGTAGTCCTCACCTCCCAGAGGACTTGGACAAAAATTATCTGTGGTTTGTAGCTTTGTCTAATTTACCTTAAGCAAACCTGCATTCAATTTATCTTAGATTAGACTTTGTAATGTAATCATTCTACATTTAAGAACAGCAGTTTCAATATAGCAAGCTGGTTATTCTATAATTGCTCTTGATATAGAAAGCCCCAGAAATACTGCTGGCACTGTACTCAAGATATGAATGCAATCAGGAACTGCTTACTGTACAATGCGTGTAATCTCTGTGGCTTTTCTAAGCATAAGTTAAGCAATTGAAAGTTGATAGACAATAATTTGGATTTTAATACTATTATTGAAATAGTCTCTCTTCTACCATCTACCAATTGATTAAGCTTTGGTTGAAAATGTCAGTAGTACAACCAGGTATAAATGGAATTCTCCTTGAAGTTATATTTTATCTGACTTTCTTATGCATGCCTGTGTTGCCTCTCTGGACATGAATTTCCAGTCAGATCACATGCATAAACACGGGCAATGCCAGTAGAGTCTGGCAGACCTAGTGGAAACCTATAACTAACTGAAAACAAAACAAAACAAAACAAACAAGGCTTTTTTTGTGAGCATATTATCTTTTACACTTATGAATGAGTACAAATGAAAAAGGAAAATCATGAATAGGCACATTGTTGCATGTGTTCGTACTGAAGTGTTGCAAGCTGCTACTAAGGTACTAATGATATTCAAAATAAGAGCACAAGTAATTTAAAATATTCTCCTTATTTCACAAATTGACTAATTTTGCTATGACTGAAGGTGAGCTAGGGGATATAAAATTTAGCTCTGAAAAAGTGCCTAAACGAATAATATGCAAGCTACAATACCATTTACGTTATAAGTGCTCCTGTAAGATCAAGCTCTCTAAAGGTAAATTTATTGGGTCTATCAAAGTCATTTTGACCTGACTGCTTCTTTCTGATACAGCCAGAAGCAGACAGACAGATTTATTGAAAGAGGGTAAGAAAAAAGGCAAGTACAGACTGGCACCTTCCCATACGCGTCTGTGCAGAAAGAAGCATTTTAGGCCCCCTGTGACTTGGAAGCTGTGCTCAGAGCACTCTGTTAAAAAGTCACCGATGACCCTTCTTCCTGTAAATTTGTCCAATTGCATCTCTATCCTCTTACACGTTTGGCACCCAAAATATTCCGTGTCAATGAGTGTCTTAATTTAAGTAAGTGTTTTGTGGAAAACAAACAAACAAACAACAACCCCTTTCTGTGCATATGCAGCCCATTGCCTTCACTGGCAATATTCATGTGCTATTGCTTGGTGTGTCTGGATTAACATTTCCATTTGGATGAGAATGCTGTTGAACCAGATCTCACATTGCCCACACTTACTGCGCCTCTGTCATGTGGTGGAGTGCTCTCAAAGCAAATAAACCGAGCTCATTTCAGGTGAGAGTAAATCAGAAGATAACCTGTAGGAGCCCAAGTAATGTGCTCTACTAATGGCCTTGCATAACTTCACAGACCACTTCCATCTGCCTCCTCTAATACACTTTCCCAATAAAAATGCTGTAGATGCCCTTCGTATAGAAAAGCCCCCATACCCTCAAACCATCACTTCAAAAGGATGCTTCACTCTGCTTTATCTTTCTTTGAGATAATGTAATCACAACCATATGTAAAACCAAAGATGTGGGCTAATCAAAAATTTAGCCAATGACATAATGTCTTCCATTTTGTTATGTCCCTAATAATTCTACTTACTTTTTTGACTACAGCTGTGCATTGCATGATTTCAAAAAACCAAAGCAAATCCCACACCTGAATATTATATATATGTGAAACCAATAAAGATAACTCTTGGCTGACAAGTTTATTGTTTCCATCATCAGTGAGCTGAATAATTTATTATCATTAGTCAATTTTAGCAGCTCATGCATCTCTTTTCCTAATCACAGATGCTGGAATGCAGCGGGATTTCAATGACAGCTCACTGTCATTTGCTAGATGTTGTTTTCCATTGTATTTTACATCACATATTTCATCTTTTGCCTTAGTCTGGTTTTATTTTTATGTACCTTGCTGAAAGAGGCTGTTATTTGCTGAAGGGTCTGCTTCCCATAGGAAGTTTCCCCTTGCTTGTCCTGTCCCTATTTCAAGGGGATGGTGTTTCTACGTGGCTTTCACAGAGCAGGTATTATCCCAGGCTTCCTGCATGTCTACCAGTACATGTTCTCCAGTACATGTGCAAGCTGTATCATTTTCTGCTTATGCTAATAAAATAGTTAAATCACAAGATTTGCTACTTAAAATGAACTATGAGTCCTGTATTTTCAACAACAGAAATGAGTCTCTGTTACCAGAGAGATTTCTGAGACATGGCAGCCATCCTGTATGAACGTCTGCACATCAGGTCACCCTGATTCCCAATCTCATATCTTAATCCCTAACTTAGTCTGAAACCTCCAGCAAACTCGAGTGCCAAAGGCATCTAGTTTCTTCCCAAAGCTAAGGCTACTCAGGCCAGGCAGAACATACGAAATGAACCAGCGATCACATAGCTCTTGAAAGAACAAAATAGCTTATCAAAGTTCTTGTAGCAGTCAGTGCTCTAAGAAATACTAACTTCATACTGCTCTATTTGACAATAATTTTTTTCAAGGTCAGAAGCAGGACTATTTTTTTTCTTTTTTGTAGTTAATATCTGCCTTTTTTATAGCTATAAACCTATATGTTTTATAGCTTATATTTTAATCTTACATAGAAGACATACAATACACAAAAGTCCTGCTTGAATTTAACACTAATATGGTCTTTATCATTAATCACTTCAATAATATCTCTCAGGCCTTCAAGAGAGAAAGGAGGTAACTTCTCACTTGAAGTTTGCTTTTTGAGATATTGCAAATTGCATTCAATCAATGTTACAAATATTTAAAATTCACATAAAGTGCTTGCAGTTTTATACTAGGCAAGAAATGAAGATGAGATTTTTTTCCATTCACACAGAGCAAATTGGAACTCAGTGGGGATTATTATTTACATTTAAAATTTTTGCAAAGCAACTGTTCCTACCATTAACTTGAACTCAAAGACAAGAACTATGAGACAGTGCCTCTTTCATTAATTAACAATATTCTGAATATTAAATAAATAACCAAACAAGAATTTGCAAAGACTGATTTCATGGGTTAACAGTTCAGCAGTTACTGATTAAAACACAAAGCATAAAGCTAGCTAGCGTGTCTCATCAAAGAATCAGGTTACTAAAAAGGATAAAAAAAAAGAGAAAGCAAGCTTTAGAAATAAACCTATAAAAGCACATTAAATGCATGCGAGCACATTTTTATATTTGGTATTTCACATAATTAAATTCTGCAGATTAATTAAATATGAAGTTGTGTTTACCAACTTCATGAAAACTATTCAACTCCTACATTGCCTAGTCTTCTTCACAAATTCACAGCAAAGCTAGAACAACTTGTGTTTTCTATCTTGGGCTGTTTATTTCCCTGGAAGTAAATGAAACACCAGGACTGTGGGAGGGCACAATAGGCTTAGAAAGCGTTCTCTCCTCTGCCCAGACATCTGTGATTTTTCTATAATTATTGATACTCGAATATAAGACACTTGGCTTAAAGTGCTGGGATGCATACTAAAACCGGGTAACCCATCTCATGTTTCACAATACAAGTCATTTGACTGTGGGAGCCATAATGGAATTCTGATGGACAGTCTGTAAATAATTCTTTTCTTAAAAAAAATTATAAAATGCTTTTTTTCTTATTTTTTTTTTCTTTTTCTACCTTCCATTAAACTATAACACACTAAATGCCAAATGCACAGGACATCATATAACAGTTCTAAAAAATGATTTATAGTAAAACCTGTTCTCCTACTTTAGAACTGGATCACTTTCCTCATTCTATTAATTTTTTCATCACTGTTTTTTTATCTGTTACATACTTTTTTCACTGTCCCTGTACCGACTAAAGTTCATAATTATCTTTATGGTCCTCTGTTCATGCTCGGAACTCTTCATCCTCAGTATCCTCTTTCATTTCCCTTATCACTGAACATGTGTATAAATCACGTTGCAAAAGCATTCCTTTTCTTCAAATTTGCTGTCTTCTCAGCTGACTAGATACTACATTTCAGCTGTCATCAATTCGTGCTGAAATATTCTTTTGTATGATGGTTTTGTATCATATTATGTAGTGACATCACATCCTATTAGTTTCATTCCTCCCCTATAACTGCTCCCCAGCTACTTACTGGACTTCTGGTTTCGGTTGTTCAGAAAAAATGCATTAAGACAAAAAAATCTATTGACATTTATAGGTTAGCTTAACACAATAAGTTAAATAAACTGAATAAGGATAAAAGAGTTATTAAAAGCAATAGCACACTGACGGTTTGTGGCCTGAATGTTACTTGGCATAGTGCTCAATCCTCATTAGATGCCTGTTTCTTGAATTGCATGATTACCGTATTTTGCTCAAAAATTACTTTCATTCTTTAAGGATACTGAGATTTCAATATAATATTGCAGATCATTTAACAAAAATCTCCAAAGAGTTCTGCTCTACACTACTGTACAGTAGGACGTGTCCAGTGGCACAGCTGAGGCTCCTTAGGGCGGCTTCAGTACAAACAGCTCAACCACGGAAGGGATTTTGGGGCTAAGTTAGTGCAAAACTGTCTCTGACATAACCTCTACTTTTCAAACATAACTTCAAACTTCATATCTTAACTAACATTCATAACTTAAATTACATTTTCAAGGTTTATTGTTTTTATGTCCAGAGCACTAAACCCACATAACATACTCTGGAAATATGGGAAAGCTTCAACCATCTGACATTTGAAAACAGCAGTCAGATTTTCAGGGACCTTTACACCCGTGGGCTGCGTACAGGCCAAAAGAACAGGCTTTTCCAGCGGGGCCACACTATTTGGTTTTTGACAGTGCAGCACTGTCGAATCAGTTATTGTCCCAGTCAAATCTCTGCATTTTTCTGTTCTGTGCTACTGTTTCTGTTTCTGTGCTACTTACCCCTTTTAGCTCTTTTCTTCTTTGCATTCTGCATATTTTGCCTTCTGCAGCTCCATCCCAGCTCTCTCACATTCTCTTCCTTCACATTCCTCTCTGGGAGGGATTTTATGCTACCCTTCTGAGATACCTAGATCCTGCAGTATCCTTTATTTTTTGGGGGCAACTTATCTAATTTCCAGGTAGTACACTGCTTAATTGGCAGGAAATCTCCAGCTTTCCCTTTTAATAATTTCTTAAGACCATAGTTTTTCATATATAGGAAATGCATCTTCATATGAGTTATAACACATACATGAAACACGCCATATATACAATACAATAGGTTACAACAAAACTCAGCATCAACATCCCAACTGCCCTTAGAGAAGAAGAAACACCATTTTTCCTGGCAACAGCTTCCACCCCTGGGCAGTACCAAAGAACATCTGCCAGCTCTCAAACCTCTGCTCATTTTTGATAGCTCAGAGCATTCCTTGTTATTTTCACTATCAAATCATGATGCTCTGTGTCACTCTGTGTTTTACAAGCAGCTGACCAGACTTATCAAATTTGACCTACAAAAAGGCCAGTGTAGACACATAAAGAGGCTATAAGAAGGAAGTGATCCTGTTTGTTTTTTTTTTCGCCACTTGCTTTTATAGAAGCAATCTATATTGTTCTTGTGAAAAGGAAAAAAAGATTTCTTAGCAAGACTTAGCACTATAGAACGCGACTAGATCAGTAAACACAGATGAGGCCTGGTGAAGAAAGGCCTCATTAGACTGTAAACGAGGAACTCAGACAAACAGTGAATCACACATTTCCCTCCTCCAGCCAAATGTTTTTCTGTTAACAATCCTTTAAAATCACGGCAAAATTTAACTATTAAAATACGCTTCATTCATGTAGTAAATAGAAAATAAAACTAGAAAGAAAAAACCCTCTCTTGTTCCATCTTGTATGTATAAAAGGATGAATCTATGAAATAATTCCAATTATTTTATAAGACCTCTTTCATAAAAGATTGATTTGGGATTTTTGTGTGTGTGTTTCTTTATTGACCACAGTTAGAAACAGTAACTTTTCTTCCAGGGTAATCACTCCACTAGCAGATGAAACATTAGAAACTTTCCAAACAAAAAATGTGCATAAAATTATGTTTATAATTTGCACAAAACCAAAGATTAAAGGTTAAAAAAAAGTTACACACCCAAATTTCCATTTTACAATTTGCAGCGTATCTTTTGATTCCAAGCTGGATGAGAATTTTTAACTTAGCTTTACCGTAGTAGTCATCCATCTTTGATGGTCAGTTAGACATTTATTTTCAAATACTGTACTCAAGTGTGTGCAGAGATTAGAGAAAAATAGAAAAAATAACAATTTAAATCTGAAAATTAATTCCTTCATGTCCAAATGATAAAGAAATGATTTTCTTACCTTCAAAAACTCTGAAAGCTTTCTTGCAGCTTGGTAGAGGCCATTTTGCAGAATTTGATTTTTGAAAACTTTCTTTTAATTTCAAATATTCCGTAGGAAAAAAAGATTTGGTAGAGTTGTTCAGTTCTACAAAAAATAATGGGAAAGAATATATATGTATTAATGCTGCAATTACAGCAATAATTTTCCTATGTTAATTCTACAAGGTTTTGAAAATCACATTAAAAATATGTCCAGATACAGTAAGAACAAGTCTTAAACATGCTCTTCTAATTCTCTATTTCCAGACTAAGGTACTTAGCAAAGATAATGTGAAACACAATGTGAATGGAGTATATTATAAATAGGGTATTTAAATTACAAGACAATATCTCCATGAATGAATGAATCTGTGATATAAATTTTTTGTTCCTGCTGCTCTTTGCTTTAACATCATCAGTCAAGAGCAGCTGGCAATGACGGAAAGAGATGGAAAAGTCTGAAAAAATATACTGTGGATTAACAGGAATTAATACTTAACATACTCTTAGAATGATTAATGACACAGTGGAATAGCTGAGGAAACAGCTGGATGGACTGCAAGACAAAAACAGCAAAATGAACCTATTCATGATCATTTATCTATGGAAAATAGAATTAAAAGATGAACACATTATCCTATAACATAGATGAAGTGATCTGATGATAACAGTTAACAAACTAAAAGGAAAACAATTTTAAACCCGAATTTTAGTAACTTGAATGAACATTTTCCCTTCCAACTATCCCGGCTCCATATAAATACTAGTAATAGTGGTTGTTGCCACAAGTCATTGTGTATATTAAAAAGAGAAAGAAAAGAAAGGGCCTTCACAGATCTTTGAAAAATCTTATGTATTATTATTATTATAATTATTATTACTTTGGTGCATCTTTGCATACCTTTTTCATAATCAATGCTTTTTTTTTTTTTTTTTTTTCCTAAGAGATGAATCTTCTGACAAACCTGAGAAATCTAAAATTTTTGTGAAAGGAAAAAAAGAAAGTCTGACAGGAAGCTACTGAGCCCCTCCATTGCAGTGGCTCTTGCTGTTTAAGTGAAAGGAGTGAGCAGACTCAAAGTCAAAAATAAGCTGCTCTTATTCTGAAGTCTTCCAAAGCACCCTTCTTTATCTCACGATGTCCCAATGCAGACAGAACTGGCCACACAGCATGCAGAAAGTGAGAAATCCCCAAAAGCTTCTACCTTGCTTTGTGAGAACAGGGCTACTGTCACAAAAGCCATGTCAGTGAATGGAGTGGGGCCATTTTTTCTCCCGAATATATCTGAAATAAATTCAGTACTTTTTCACTAGTGATTTTCACTTTCTGTGGAAGAGCTCTATATGACATTGAATTTATTCTGATTAAGTACTATCAGGATTCAGAGATAAAGTGTCTGGTGAGACTCTGCTGGCTGAATCTACACAGAGTGTTTTAGTTTCCTTTTAATGGCAATAAAAATTGACTTTCCAAATGTAACCACTAAAATCTCCGGTGAGGCATCTAGTTCCTGTTTTTCGCCAAAGGCCGTGATGAGTGACAACTCTGCAGGCCTTTACGAGGTTGCTTGCTTAGGCTTTCAGATCGGCCAGACTAAGCTCCCTTTCCCCAGGGGACACTGTTGTGTGGCCGTCTTACCGTGCACAAATAGCACCCTCATTCTGGTTTTTACAAGTGCTGGGTTTATTACGCATGGGTGCCAGATCTGGCACTTCTTGGAAATATTTTACATGAACCAAAACCACCTATTTCAAAGCACACAAGCCTGTCCCAGGTTCATTCTTTTATCTACTATGAGAGAGATTTCACAGTTAAGAGTTTCCTGGAAATGGACTGCTGTGACCAGATCAATTTTTGTCCTTTTCCACAGGTGAGTCCCTGGCACTCTGTCATCTGACCAGAAGTGCATTTATCCTGGGGGATTCCGTCCTTTAAGGCATCGGAATGTGCCACAGGCATTGCCAGAGCAATGTGTCTGCAGTGGCTCCTGGGACTAGTAGAGGAGGCTCCCTTGATATGGGCAATCAGCCAGCTTAAGTTTCCTCATGAGTCACATTTGTTTTCATAGCTCTGGACTCAGCACTTCTTTTCTTTATAATGAATCTTTTTCTTTGTAACTGATCGTTCATGGATCTTCTGGCCTTCAGCTTCTTTTTGACTTGTTACCGGCATCCTTCTATTTTGGTTGCATTCAGTTTGTAAAACTGTACAAGCTAAAAAAGTGAACTTCTAAACTTTTTTTTTTGACACGTCCTTGTAAAATAAAATATGAAAGGAAAGTAGTAGAAGGCATCTATAATACTAGAACAGATTAGTTAAGGAAATGAGACAGCCAGGCTGTAACATTAGTGGTAAACGTGAAGAGCTCTAGCAATTCTGCTTCATTGGCTGCACCAACAGCAGCGACTTTACATAACTTTTAAAAGATTTAATAAACCTCACTAGTAAAAAATATCAACTTACATTTATATTAGTCCTGCTCTACTTGTATTCCCTAATATGTTGATATTATTCATTTTTCTAAGGATATGATATCAACATCAATATTTCTTGGTTGAAATACAGCTTATAAGCTGTTCAACATGCTATGCATTAGCAAATTACAAAATATTTTTCATAATAGATATATAATAAAGCAAAGTCAATTTAGTTTATTTTCAAATATATTGCTAAGTCAAGTATATACTACTATAAATTATTTAGCAATATGCAAATAGCTCTGGTAAGGTCATAATGGATTTCTCTGAATTTGCTAACTCTACATTCATATCATGTACGTGCTATGACTCTATTCTTGGCACTGCATTTACAGTTTAGCCACACAAATCCATTTTCTCAATAAAACTACATGCCTTCCTAAGTACTCAATTGCTACAAATAATCCTGGAAATAGTTCACTTAGCTGATAGCACTTCAGAGGTGTTATAAAGGTTTGCAAATACATTTTAGCAAGCATCCTTACCCTCTTTCTGCTCTCCCAGTGGTACTTCAGTGCAGCAACCCTGTTAAATAGCTTTTCTTTATTCAAAGCCCTACAGCAGCTAAAAGCCATTCTCTAGCAGTGAAACCCACTTCATCTGCACATCAAATCCAAAGTAGCATTGAGCATTAAGAAAATTGAGTGAGAATGGCTTGAAACCTCTACATACCAGACAGGCGAAGTGTTGAGAGTGCTCAGGCTTCAGTTTCACATGCAGTTTTTCTGCCACAGTGCTGGTTTAGTCAGGCCCTGCCCATGGCCATTGCTCTTGCCATCTGCAGCACTCAAGTGAACCACACTAGGGAAACTAGTATGGCTCAAAAATGCCTCTTTCCCACTCCAAAGAGCTCTTTCTCAGACAGTTCAGTTCCCCAAGCTAGTTTGGCATCCAATTATACAACATTGTGCTCTTCAAATGAAGAGTCTGTGCATGAGCAGAAATAGAAGCTGGGTAGCTCTGCTGCTCAGTGCAAAATTGTAACTTAATTCCACATTATCTGCATCCCCAACCTGTCATCACCACAGTATCATCCCTGTTTAAGCAGGATGCCTGCATGATCCCTGCAGCATGCAAAAATAAACATGTGTTCCCTCTGGCTGAGTCACTTCCATTATTTTGTGACCATCTATGCAGAGTTTAAGTGCTATAATCTGCCTGATTCCATATATCATCATGAAACTTTATCCACAGTGTTGGAATTCACCTTGTTAAGCTGTATGTATAAAGACTGACCCATGAAGTTCCATGCATAACATCAAGAGGACCACTTAACCTTTCCTATTCCTACATCCTTTCCGACCTCAAACAACAAACCTACCACAAACGTTCTCCTACTGCAAGAAGTCAGGAGTACTGAAGATGAAGGTGTAAGAGGGGAGGAGGGCAGAGTTTAAAAACGATATTAGTTAGAACTCTATTGTTCTATCAGCTTTTATTTTTACCTACAGCTAACTTAAGGTCATAAAACCAAGAAAAGAATAACTTTCATCATTAATTTAACAATTTTAAGATGCTTTTTTAGTGAGGTACTTTGAGGAAATGCATGTTTATAATGTTTGGAGTTTGTGATTATTTTGCAAGAGTAAATATGAATTTAGTATGAATTTAGCAAGTAAATATGAAATATCAAAACTTCTCTTAAAAAACAAGTTTTCTTGAAATACACTCCAGAGTAATTTCTTACTACTTATGAAGGCCTACCTGTAATAGTTCTATGAAGAAATAAATAGAAAGAAACCCCCCAAAATAGGTAAAAAGGCCAAATGCTGCTCTGCATGGATTGTGGATTTACCCCAGTACATATTCTTTTATTATTTCTTGGGGCAAGAGAACAGCAGGGAGTAGCTATTCTGTAGCAGGGAGTTACCATGCTTTTAGCTACATATTTATTCAGGCTAGATATACACCAAGAAAGAGTTATAAGTATTTTTCTATATTGTAAAAAGTTTAATGTATATACCTGCTTGGAAAAAGACTCTGGCAATTGTAGTGCGACACAGTGGGCATGGAGTGCTGGCTGGATTGTCTTTGGCAAGCGTCCTTAGGCAAGGCTCACAGAAGACGTGGTGGCAGGGATAGCACATGTAAGGATTGAAATAAAGATCCAGGCACACTGCACAGAGATAGCTTTCTTTGTCTCCTCCGAATTCATGCTCATCATCTGTGTGCAGGTTATCATTTGCAGTCTGCAAGAAGAGAAACAGAGAGCACATTTCTTCACAGCTCAGCGTATAACTATTTTGGATAAACCAATCAGCAAGAAGGTGGCTTTAAATAATGCTGAAGAAGTCAGTACACTGTGTGATATTCTTAACTTTTAAAACACGCTACTTTCAGTGAGATAATGAAACATATGGACAAGACAGGCATGCCACAACAAGCATTGAGGAAGTAGAGAACAAAAGTGAGTGAAAGAAAGTAAAAGAAACAGTAAAGGAAAGTAGCAACAAAACCAGAAAGCTTGATCCAAGCTGTAATATTGTAAGATTTCTTATTTTAAAACAAATTTTAATAATTTGTAACTTCATTATCAAAATACCTGTCAATTTTCCTAAGAAAGGCAAATTGAACAAACAGCTCTAAGTTCTTCTGCCTTTGAAAAGTAGCTTGTGAAGAGTATGTTTCTGCAAGTGTCACGGTTTAGAACAAAGCACAACTTTATCATTAGAATGGAGAACCTGAACCTTAATGTAGAAAGGAAACCCTTCTAGCTTTTCCTTCTAGGAAACTCTAGCAACTTGACAAATTCTTGGTTTTGCTAGCATTTGTGCTACAAATTTTCTTGAAGGGATGTATTTATAGGTGGGCATAACTAGAATTCAATATTGTGTACATGTCATCCGAGTATAAAAATGTTTATATATCACTACCAGGTTCCTCCTTTGTTCTTGTTAAAGGATTCAAACTTTCCATGTAATCTGAAGATCTTATACTGATGGCACCCAAAATTTCTGGCCTAGGAAAAGTGTATTTTCTTCATTTCTATGGGAACAAAACAAGAAACAGATTTACTTGGCTCTGTTTCCTCTACTTCTACACTCTGTTCCAGAGCTAACAGAACCCAACTTATCCATTGGGATACAACAGACCCACCAGGAAACACCCGAGAGGGTGTCAGACACTGCTGAGGGTCAAAATTCTTCTCAGATGCCCCTTATTCTAAGCTTTCCAACCTTACCTAGTGGTCCCAATTTAAGCATCTTAATTCCAAGCCGCCTTTGAGTATCAGTAACTCCTTGTAGGCTCCAACACCCACACTTAACCCCCTATGCTCAACCACTTGCTCAGCCACTACATCATACTCACCTCCTCGCCACGCCTGCAGAAGTCCTTAAAGACACCTATAGTCAACACTAAGCATAACTCATGACTCACTGCTACCCAATATATACTGCTCAGTGCCAGAGCAGCTGCATAATTAGCATCTAATCTGCATACCCATCAGCTGCCTGTTAGACAGGCCACTTTCGTCACTTGTAGGCTATGCCAGACTATCACTGCTACTCGTATACCATATATTCAAAATATTTTGTGGCTATTCAGAGACATGGGAGTCTCTATGTCTGTCTCAGGGATAATTGTGTTTATGGCTTGCTGCTTGGGATTTCTGCTCTCTCATTACAGCCAATCCTCTGCTATCTGGGTTACTGAACACAGCAAATAATAAATAAGCCCAAACAACATGAGTACTATGGAATGCATTTGAAAACCTAGAGCAGAAATTTGTCTCCAGGAGGATTTATCAGTTCTAGATAAGCATAATTCCTAGTTTGGGTCCAGCACTGTCCAAACATGAACTCTTGTGCAACCCAGACTGTCAATAATCCCTGTGTGGCTCTTACCTCAGCACTTACTACTCCAGCTTGCTTTTCTCCTTGTCAGATCTGAGATGGCTCCAGAAAATCAGAGCCAGTTTTGCTTTGGTCTGTACTGAGCAATCTGGAAATTTATTGTGGACATAAACAGGCTGCTCTGACATGTGGCCACCGTGGGTCTGCTTTGGATTATTACTTTGAGCTCTAGGCTCCAGGAAAGGAACTGTGGCATTTTTTGAGGCAAGTCTGCCCAGGAAGAGCATTGGAGCAGTATTTTAACTCATCAATAATCCTGCTTGACCCAGGCTGTCTCTGCACTTATGAGTAGCCAGCATTAGAAATGTATGGCAAAAGGTAATTGAGAGTTGCCTATAACTATGTAATTTTATACAGAAGGAAGCCTTTCTTTGACAAAAATCAGAGAACAGACTGGCACAGAGAGTGAGGAACGCAGCATTTGTGCTTGGTACACAGCAGAGATGTCTTCAGCTGAAATTCGGAAGCACTAATGCATTTGGCAATGAAAAAAACTCCACAATTCAGCCATATAGGGACAAAAGTCAGAAATAAAAGTGAGCACAAACCCAAAAGTTAGGAGACAAAAGCAAGTGTTTGCGGACTGGCTTTGAAAGGAATGGAAAAATAATGGCTAGAGAGAAACGCCGCTCTGACTGAGTGCACATTAAGCACCGCACGGGCCAATTAAGCATGTAAGAGAGTGGAGGCAAAAAGGCTGGAGGACTCGAGGGTAATGGAAGGTTCTGAGGTAGGTTTGTGACCAGGATAACATGGACAGACAGGAGAATCTCAGTGTCTACTGAAATTAGTAGGAAGATCTAAATTATTCTAACATGCGAGCTATATTCTGTTTAAAAGTAATTTGATTAGTGGGTGAGAGGAAGGAAAGCTGCCCTTCTAAGATGTCCTATCTACTCAAAAGGCATCAGTTAGTGCAAAGCTTAAATCACAGGAGTTTCCCTATGCAAGAAGCTACTGTTAAATAATTTAGATGAGTATTATTTTCTATTTGCAACTAAACAGTCCAACAACCAAAGCTTCAGAGTTTGGGAGCTATCCAAGCATAAAGCAGAATGTTGCCCTTGCAGAGAGATTATAATACAGACAAAACTGAGGAAGGCCATGTGGATATAAGAGGCAGTGAAAGGAATAAAAGACTCTATAGAGTGCAGCAGGGAAACCTTTTAAGCAGCATAAATCCTATTACTACTTAGCAATGAGTGAAAGGTCCTAAAACTTTCCCCGTTCCCAAATCACATGGGAAATGCTAATACTGCCTTTATCCCCTTACTGTGATCAGTGATATTTCACTGCATGGATGTCATGAGGATGTAAACAGACAAACAAACAAGAAGGGCAAAGGAACAAGGGATCAGCTTGAGAAGCCTGTGAGCATGTGAGGAGAGCCCTTATCACCTGTGATATGCTATATGCTCTCTAACTACATACTGCAGAGCCGCTGCATTCAGTTGTTTAACCACTTTTTTTCTGGAAAAGCCAACAGGGCTTCACTGTGCAACTCAGTCCACTTAGAAAGGGCCAGCTGCCCTTTCTTTGTATGAACAACCTGTATGCAAGGTCAGATAAATATTTCCCTTTCTTTTCCCTTAAAGCAGATAAAAGAGAGTAACCATCAACAAGGTATAGATTCAAAAAAGTCATAGTCTGCATCTAATAGGTCTGCATTGACAGACAGAGATTGTAATGCTGACAACTGATGCAGACATGTAGCCATGCAGAACAGACTGAATAGTTGTGACTTTTAAAAACATTTTGAAATCAGTGGCTAAAAAAAAGTTTCTCAGAAAAATTTTGAGCAAAACAAGGAACATAAAGGCCATATTAAGAGACCACAAGTAGAGCATCACATGGAAAATGAACCAAACTTCTTAGAAATACAGACACAGGTTTCCCTCATTAGTTAGAATTCAGTCACTTGTATTAAATCAGCAGAGGGCATCAATACAGCTGTGAAGGACAACACTAGGAGTGGTTAAATGCCAAGTCTGGAAAACTTGCAGAAAAGATGCTTGGTGCAAGCTGAAAGCAGCTCTCACTGCTGTCTTGGGAAGGGCATAATCAGCAGTTAGTGAGCCTCAGCACAGTCCGCGCTCCAGCAAGCACTTGTCAGGAATACTGACAAGAAACGATGGTCAAAAATGGCAAAATAAAAATCCTTCTGGGCCACTGACAGTTGTAGAAGCCATTCGGTCATTCAATTGATTCAGAAACCCTTAAGTATCTTCCTTCGGTGCTGCACCTCCCATGCCCAAGTTATCAAAGTCGGCGCTTGCCTAAGGGGTGAACATCTGGCAGAAAAAAAGAAAACTTCTAAAAATATGAATTCCAAAGCTGCAGAATCAGACAGAAATGGAAAGAAAAGCTAAAGTATTCCTGATTGTGATGAGAATTACTGATAAGGCTTTTTATTCAGAAGCTACAACTTTGACCGCATTCTCTAGCAATGCAAAAAAAAAAACACAATAAAACATTTACTTTCAAGCATGTGACTAATCCTGAGAGGCTGGAAGATTATCAATTTACAGACAGCACCACCAGTCAGTAAGCTGGGGAAAGCAGTCACTGAGCACTTAAATATGAAATTCAGAAAGGCCAAAACCTAGATGGGCCTAGAAATACTGTTGCATGTAGATGTAAACTAGAAGAAATTCGACATGTATGCTATCAGCATTGTGATGAAAAATTATTTTTCACAAGCAGTACAGCGAAAGCCTGGAAGAAGATAGGAAGGAATCCGGAGGAAAGAAGATTGCTGAAGGAAGTGTTAGTGTCTGTAAGCAAAGGAGGGGGTTGTATTTAGGGATGCGGAGGGTAAAGAATGTGAAGGAAATCAGATGTCATGTCTGAGTTACGTAGGGTATGAAGGAATCGGAAAGCAGGTTCACTGTTGTTCACCTAAAAACTTGTAGTCGTTTTCTTTCAAGTTAGTGACAGTAACAGCATTTATTATTATATATATTTATTATTCTATATATTAACATTAACATATTGTTGCTTATTAGAAATTATCTAGCCTAACTTCTGCAGGCTAGACGAGGGACTTTTTATGGACATTTAAAAGTAAATTCAAAAAAAAAATGAAACCAAGTACATTTTTAAAATGTTTAAAAATCCCTGTGATAAGTGTTTAATGATTAAACTGGCGGCAGTTCTTCCAAGTGAGGCTCTGGGGTTTGTACGCCTGGTAGCTTGTTTTGGCTGACTGGTATAATGAATGAAAAGGGCATGTTTTGAGGCTTCCAGCAAACCTAAGTTTAAAACATACAGATTATAACAGGGCAGATAGGCCAATGCCTGTGGCTTACATTTCTGAGCAAATTAACTCTTCACTC